AAAAATTTAAAAATTTATTTTTCTGTTCCCTTACTCCAACCCCCGAGAAAAGCAGTCAAGAATTAACAAAGCACAGAAACACCTCCATCTGTAAAGCACATCCAATCTTCTTCCTCTTTTTCTCTCCTCCCCCCGTCTACTTCTTCTTCTTCTTCTTCTGTTTTGTCATCGTTTGCGTCTTTCTATATCCCTGTTTTTGGACCCAGAAACGTAGTATTTATTATTATAATTTCACAAACAGTGATTTATGTTTCCCTCTGGACCACCGCCATTGCCACAGTTTTTCCTTTCTCAGACGCTCTTTTCTTCATTTCCATGAATTAAAGCAGCTGGAGAGGGTGACGTTTTTCAATTCTTGAACCGAAAAAAACTCACGGGACTTTCATGGACGAACCCTTCACCGCGATCTTAACCTGTACGTCTTCTTACTCTTCTCATTATTATTATTATTGTTGTTCTTCTCCTCCTCCTCCCGCACAGATTGGTTTCTACGTGTTTCTGGTAATTGGGTTCGTTTCAGAATGAGTCAACTCAGGGTGCTGTTGCAGGAATCGGTAACAAGAGAGATCGACGCGAGAACGACGATCCTGGCTTTGCTTAGGGAACGAATGGACGGTCTCGATGGAGCCATGGCGAGACGGAGAAGGACGCTGAAAGAACGGCTGGGATTTAAAGGAATAGGCTGCTGTGGGCCCACATGGGGATTCCGGCCAACCACCATCAGCGTTAGAGAAGAAGATGAAGATGAAGAGCCGGACGAGTTTGAACAGAACCATCGTGACTCCGACCCGGTACTAAGAGCGGGTCAAAGCAGGGAGCCGGTTAGCGGGTCGGATCTTATTTGTTTGAGTTCAGTTCCGATTAGCTCGGGGATGAATCTGGCGGCGGCTCTAGCGGCGGAACGACATTTACGTGCGTCAAACGAGCCTGACGGAGTTAATTCTGTGGGGCCGGATAGAACAAATGGTGGGTCCAGGAGTGTGCCGGGGACGCCGTTGAGGATGTCGCTGATGAGACTCCTGGAAGAAACCGACTTCGGCGACGGTTGCGTCGGTGACGGCGGCGGCGAGGTGGAGAAGAAGGAGAAGGAAGGAGTGGCATTGGGGAATGATTCGGTCTGCTGCGTCTGCATGGGGAGGAAGAAAGGCGCGGCGTTTATCCCGTGCGGGCATACTTTCTGTAGGGTGTGTTCGCGGGAGCTGTGGTTGAACAGAGGATCGTGTCCGCTCTGCAACCGTTCGATCCTCGAGATTCTCGACATCTTCTAGTGATCGTCGTCAGATCGGGCGGTGAATCGCGAGTCGCATGCACGGCTCGTGATGATGATGAGGCCTAGAGATTTGCGGGGGAGATTTCTTTTGATTGGATGGGGCC